CTCCCATAAGTACTGTGTCCAAAGCCCACGCCCACATGTTCTCACTCCAAGCCCTCCCCCACCCCACCCGACTCCCCCATGCCCATACCCCCTTTTTTTTTTTTTTTTTTTTTTTTCCAGAACTGGGGATTGAACTCAGGCCCTTGAGCTTGCCAGGCAAGTGCTTATTCTACTGAGCTAAGTCCTCGGCCCTTGTTTTGTTTTGTTTTGTTTTTGGCGGAACCAGGGATTGAACTCAGGCCCTTGCGCTTGCCAGGGAAGCGCTTATTCCACTGAGCCATCACCCCGGCCCCAGCTTTGTTTTTTTGAGACAGGAATCACTCTCTTTGAATTCACTATGTAGCCCAGGCTGGCCTCAAACTCACAATTCTCCTGCCTCAGCCTCCCGAGTGCTGGAATGTTCTTTCCCCACCCTAACCCTCCCCACCTCCAAAGTGCCCTGAGCAGTCCCCCCTCTGCCCCTCACACCCTCCCATCCAGTTCTATGGCTCCCCCTAAAGAGGCCCTAGGCCCCGCCCTGGGTGTCCACCCACTCTCAGAGCTCCCCTGCCTCCACCTCCCCTTTTCCAGACCATTCCAATCACAACTCCGCCCCCTGTGAGTCCCGCCCACTGGAGCCCCTCCCCCAGCTACAGCTTATGGGGTTTCTGGCCCCTCACTCCTGGTCCCGCCCACACCCCACGTGGTCCTCAGTACCCCCCACGTGCTCTTCAGTGCTCCCCATTGCCACCCAGGTGGCTCTGGAAGCCACAGTCCCCTGGCTCCATGGCCCTAGACAGCCGAAACCCTGGCCTTGCCTGCCCTCCAGGTGAGTGTGAATGGCAGTGCCCTGTGAGGCCCCAGGGTCCTGTCCTCCCCACTGGCCTGTTCTGAGGCCGAGGTGGATGGGGGGGCAGGGGACAGGGTAGGTGTCCCCACTCACAGGGAGGCACGGCTAGATAGGGTCTGGGGGTCCAAACCCAGGCCAAGCCTGCCTGTTTGCTCTTCCCACATCCCAGCGCTGGCCCTGGAGGCTGAGCATGGTGTAGACATGATCCTGATGGGCTCCAATGAACACCTGCATCCCCCTGCACGCAGGCAGGGCAGAGGTAAGGGGTCGTCCCCAGCGACCAGGCTCAGGCCCATGCCAGGACAGGTCGCATGGCATCCAGGCTGCAGACAGAAAGATGAACTTGTGCCCTATCTGCCACCAATCCAATCTCAACAGCTTAGATTCTGAGATCAGGCGAGATCAGGTGATTCAGGGTGGCACATGTGCCAGGCACAGTAGTTCGTGGTACTCTGAAGTTGAGGCAGAAGGATCACAAGCTTGAGCCCAGCCTGGACAGCTTAACAATTTAACGATTTGTCTCAAAAATTAAACATTCTTAAAAGGGCTGGGATGTAGCTCCATGGGAAGGCCTGGATTGAATCCCCAGCACACAAAGACAAAAGACAAACTGGTACTCCCAAATGCGCATGGGGCACCTTGTTCAAAGTAGAAGCGGGGAGAAAGAGCTGCCTGTCTCCTTCTCCAGAGCTCATGGCTTATGAAGTCACAGTGCACCGGCGGGACATAGAAGGTAAGCTGGCCCTGGCCTGCAATCTTTTTGCTTATTTGGCTTGGTGTTTTGAGACAGGGCCCTCTGTAGCTCAAGTGGGCTCTGAACTCACTATGTAGCCCAAGTTATCCTCGAGCACTCTGCAATCCTGCCGTCTCAGCCTCCTGCGTGCTGGGATCACAGGTGTGCACACCGTGCCCAGCCTTGAGCCTCACCCTTGTAACTCTTGAGTCCTCCACTCTGTGGGCTTCTTTCCCTCTACACCGTGCAGACATCTGAGTTGCCCCTCAGGCCCTCAATCGACCCTGTGCCCCAGCTTTGCCCCTTGTCCTTTAGCTGTCTGCCTCTGCTGTGGAAGTCTCCAGGTGCACACGCAGCACCCCCTGTTCGAGGGAGGGATGTGTGCCCCATGCAAGGTAAGCTGGGAGCCAGGCAGGGCTCCTCCAGCCCAGGGGCAGAAGACAGAAACCCACCTCTGCCTTCCCAGGACAAGTTCCTGGAGGCCCTGTTCCTGTATGACGAGGACGGGTACCAGTCCTGCTGCTCCATCTGCGCCTCAGGGGACGTGCTGCTCATCTGCGAGCTCTCCGAGTGCACACGGTGAGGCCGCCCCATCTGCCTTCCGGTTCCCAGGCTCTGTCCCCACAACACTCTCCTTGGTTTTCCCAGAGCCCAGCGCCCAGAATGCGGCTTCCAGGGAACCACATCTGCACCGTTTCGCCAACATCTGGCCCTGGGGGTTGATCCCGAGGCCTTTGCGCTGAACCACTCTAGCCCTTAAAAACTTAGGTTTAAATTTTGAGAGTTGTTAAATTGCCCAGGTGGGGCTGGAATCTGCCATCTTCCTGCCTCAGCCTCCAGGGTGCTGGCATTGGGGGGTCAGTACATGTGACTTAGTCTCTGCTGACCCTAGGTGCTACTGCTTCGAGTGCCTGGATGTGCTGGTGGGCCCGGGGACCTCGGACAAGGTACACAGCATGGACAGCTGGGTGTGCTTCCTGTGCCTGCCCTGCCCAGGCAGCGGGCTTCTGAGGCGGCGGCGAAAGTGGCGAGGCCAGCTGAAGGCCTTCCATGACCTTGAGGCGGTGAGGATGCAGGGAGGGTGACTGTGGGTGCTGACCTCCCCAACACTTGACAGACTGAGGCTCTTTCTGCCTTCTACGTGGATGGCCTAGTCCCCATATCCATTTAGCATAGTGATCAGAGTCTTGCTGTGTAGCCCAGGATAGCCTGAGCTCACAGCAGTCCTCCTGCCTCAGCCTTCCACATGCTGTAATTGCAGGTGCATGCCACTGTGCCTGATGAGGCTCTCCTTGCTGAGGGTCTTAGCACTGCCCAGCAAGGTGCAGGTTCCACAGGCCTGGCCACCCCAGTGCTGTGTCCACTTGGATGGTACACAGTCATCACCTGCCTCCTGGATTGTCTGGGTGCAGATGTGACCCACGTGACAGCTATGTGCAGGTGTCCTCATGGCACTTTTCAGGAAGCAGAAGCACCCTGTCTTCTGGAGCCCTCTGTGAGGGTTGCACTCCACCCTCGTGACCAGATGGAGACCCCCGGGTTGTGCACTGCCTGGGGACTTCACATGAAATAGTGGTTGTTTTGTTTTGTCTTATCTTGAGATGGGGACTTGCTGTGTAGCCCACTCTGGCCTTGAACTCACAGCAATCCTTCCGCTTTTGCCTCCTGAGTGCTGGGATGACAGGCATGCACCACCATGCCTGGGTCGTTCCTCTTCTTTTTCTTCATAGGAAAGTCCCCTGGAGATATACAAAACAGTCCCTGTGTGGAAGAGAGAGCCACTGCGGGTGCTGTCCCTGTTTGGGGACATTAAGCAAGGTAAATGCAGTGACAACCTGCAGCCTCCTACAAGAAGTGGGCAGAGGGTGGGTGTCACAGCCTCTCCACCATCTGCATCGGGAATTGAGGAGTGAAAAGGAGCCCACCACATCCCCAACCATCTCAGGTGGTGACCTCCTAAACTGAGACTGATCCTTGCACGGAACATGGCAGCAAGAAGTTGATTCACTTGATCCCCCAGCTGATGAGGAAAGGGAAAGAGAGGCCTCTAGGGGGCTGCAAACTGGAGCTCAGATAGGAGCCCCCAAGCATGGGGAGGGGAAAGAAGAGGGACAGGAGGGAGGTAGAGGCAGCTAGCCGTGGAGGGCATGGGGCAGGCATCCTTCCTGGGCGGGGGGGGGAGGACAACAACAACGCAGGCATGGAGTCCACAGTGAGAGCAGCCCGGCTCGGCCCCCAGCCCCTCCAGGACCCGCAGTGGCTGCAGTGGTCTGGGAAACCATAGACTTGTGGTTTCTCCGGTCTTGCCTGGCTGCAGTGCCCTGGGAAACCACACCCAAACCCCTGGAAATGATGGAAAGACACCAGAGCCCCTAGCCAACTCGCACCCTCCTCTGTGTCCCACAGAGTGGGTCCCACTCTGTTTGCCATGTGTCACACAGCACCTGCACAGTGACCGTGTTTGTATCACCCCACATCAGGAATAGGCAACTGAGACACAGCAAGTCTTGGCCAGCTCATGAGCTTGCTGCCCACACAGGGCTGCAGGAGCCTAGCCTGCCCTGGATCACCCACCTGGCTCATGAGGCCAGCAGTGACCATACTGCTGCCCTGAGATGCCTGGTCACACCACACCACAACCTGCTGGACTTGCAATTCTTGGGGACCTTTGCTGGTGGCTTTGTTTTTGTATTGTTTCTTCAGGGGGTTTTTTTGGCAGTACTGGGGATTGAGTACCTTTTTTCTTTTCTTTCTTTCTTTTTTTTTTTTTTTGAGACAGGGTTTCACAAGTCGACCGTGTTTCCCAGGCCAGGTTCGAGCTCACGGTTCTTTGCTCAGCCTCCTTTGCTGGCATGACAGGCTGCACACCATGTCTGACTTATCTCACTATGCTCACTTTATCTCAGGCAGCAAGGTCTGCCCTCAGTACTCTGCCTGCCTCTAAGGACACACAGCTTGCTCGCTGGCTCCCAGATGGCCCTTTGCTGGCCCACGGGGTACAAGTCCACAGCAGCTGTGCCTTCCTGCTGTCTCCCTCTAGAGTTGACAAACTTGGGTTTTCTGGAAGCCGGGTCACAGGCAGGGAGGCTGAGACACCTGGAGGACGTCACAGATGTCGTGCGGAGAGACGTGAGCAGCCCAGGCTCAGCCTGGGGAACACGGGAAAGTGGGGAGTGAACAGTGGCTGGATACAAACCTCCTGGTCCCGGCCAGACCAGTGTGAGGTCCTAGGTCACAGGGATCAGCTGTCAGCATAGGCCCTCAGTGAGCATGGCCCACAGGTTCCTGTGGTCCAGTCCTGGGCCAGAGCTTGGCCCTAAAATCTAGGGACCGGTTTCTGCCACCTCTAGTGGGCACTGCCCCCTGGGGGACTAAGCCCACAGCACCCTTGAGAGGAAGATGCTGAATCTGGTCCTAAACAGCTGCAGTGTTAACAGGCATCTTCACCCTCCTCTGCTCATTGGGACCCCACCTCTCTGGCTGCCGCTCCCTGGGACAGTGCCTGACTGGGGCCTGGGATGTCTGGGGGGATTCATGAGTGCTAGTGGCCTCTGGGGGATCCAGTAGGGTCGGGTACATGGGGGTGTTGGTGGTAGGCAGAGAGCATCCCCTGCGACGCCCACCCCTGCATGCTGGCCACTGGCTCCCAGAAAACTGATGACACAGGAGAGCCTTTGGGCCAGTGGGGGCCTCGTGCAGAGTTCCCAGGACTAGTTCAGAGGTATCCTCCCAACTCTTTGATGCGCACTGTTCTGGGCCTGCCCTGAGAGCCTGGTGTTCTCTGCTCTGCCCCTCCCCCTTAGGCTTCCTGGGTGTGGCTGTCCTCTGTGCACTGTCACCTGCCCCTGGACAGTGACCATGATTGATTGATTGATTGATTGATTGATTGATTTTGTCTATTTTGGTCTTTTTGGGAAAGGGTCTCACTATGCAGTTCAGGCTGCTCCAGAAATAACTTTGTAGCTCAGGTTGGTCTCGAAGTTATAATGATCCTCCTGCTTCAGCCACCACAGTGCTGGGGTTACAGGATTTGTTGACACAGCATGAGCAGAAGGCGCACTGGCTTTCAGAGACAATACTCCCTACCTGAGGATGCTGCTCACTGTCCATGCCCAACAGGTGGAGGGATGGGGCCCGTTTGACTTGGTGTATGGCTCGACACCTGCTCTGGGCCATGCCTGTAACCATCCTCCTGGTAAGACATGCATGGAGTCAGGGACTGTGGTCACAAAGGTGTCTCCTCTCCACCCTGCCACCTCTGCTCTACCCACTGTGTATTTCAAACAATCCTAGCCACCTGGCATAGATACCCAGCAATTCCTGCCCCACCAGGTACCCTGTGTGCCCATGTGGCTTGAGGGCGGTAGTGCTCTGGTGTGGTGTCCAAGAGGCAAGGCTGATGGCATGGCTGCCCTGCCAGGCCCTAGCCTGCCCCATCCCCTGGTCTCCCTGGGGTTTCGTGTCCCTAGCATGGGCAGTAGGTGTCCCATATGCATCCTGACACAGCTCCCGGTGTGTTACCTGCCTCCTGCAGGATGGTTCCTGTTCCAGTTCCACCGGCTGCTGCAGTACGCGAGGCCCCCACCCAGCAGCCCAAAGCCATTCTTCTGGATGTTTGTGGACAACCTGCTGCTGACCAGAGAGGACCAAGCCATCGCTGCCCGCTTCCTTGAGGTGCCACTGGGTGGGGGCAGGCATCTTCATGTTGGGAGGGTTTATGAAGTCCCAGGCTGGTGCTGCTGGTCTGAGTTGCCTGGGAGACCATCCCATGTCACACACTCCTGTACCCCAGGGTATGGCCCAGGGTCACCACCGCCAGTGGGTCCCAGAGGAGGATGCCAAGGATGGGGGGCCTTGGCCAGCTGCAGAGCAGAGAGGGTGGGGTCTGTTAGTGGCAGGATGTTGACTGGGTGGGTCTCAGAATCAAATCAAGTAAGCAAGAGGTCATGGGGTGTCCGCTCATGCCTTGCAGTTGGGTGGCTGTGGGCATTGGCTGATCACCCAGAGGCTCTAGATACAGCAGGGACTTAAAGCACTGAAGAAGGACCTCTGGGGACTTTCCTTCTGATGCCCTGGCTGGGACCAGTGCTCCTCTCACTCTTGCTCCTAGAGAGCACCCCATCTCCACTCCAGCTCCCTGCTGGCTGCTAGAATCCTGGGACGAAGTGGACACTCCATTTTTCTGCTGCCCCACTCCTGCCTCCTCCCCCTGCCCTGTTGTCCTCTTCTGGCTTTGCCTCACATTTGGGTGTCAAGGATCTCATGGATGTCACCAACAGTCCTGGGTCTGGTCCCAGCCCGGTGGGTGCACCCCGAGTGCTGGTCCTGATTCTGCCAGTCAGGCCCAGGGCTTGTGTCTCTGCTTTTCCTGCTGAGTGTTTTTTTTGGTTCAGTTATCTAACTGGCTTAGATTTGTACACCTGGAGCTATTAATCCCCTACATTCACGTGGCTTGGGCTCCCTGATTGGACTGCTTCATCGGGTGTAGGAGTTTTCAGAAGGCTTTCTGTGTATTTGGTCAAATTGTTGTAGAGACCATCGTCTCTGTTGTCCTCTTCTGCCTGGGTGTCCCTGCCTTGAGGAAGCGCCAGGCCCTAAGGAAGTGTACCATCACCCAGTAGCAGGTGTCTTCTCCTGCTCTTGGTCCCTGTGCTTCCACGTTTCCCAAGTTTGTGGTCTGGTATGTTGAGGAAGTTCCGGTTGATGCCTGTGGCTTCAAATATTTCATCAACAATAGCTGTTGGGTTTTGTTTAAGGTTCATGTCTAGGAGGATAATTGGGTAATTTCCTGTTTAGAGCTGTTAATAGATACAATATGCAAATAGATTTGTAGCAACCATCCTTGCACTCATGAAGAAAACCCACACACTGAGCGGCATCCCAGACAGTTTTATCGTATTTTACTATCATTTAACTTTTTTTTTTTCTGAGACAAAATCTGGCTCAGTCACTGGCCTCAGATTTTGTGATCCTCCTGCTTCACCTTCCAAAGTGCAGGGATTACAGGTCTGCATGAATTCATCTGGCTGTCACTCTTTTAACACCTCACTAAGCTCCAAGAGCCAGATTCCTCTTAAGATTGTTTGCATTGTCAGGCACAGAAGGGCTGTGTGCATTCTCTGCTGTGGGACTGTTACCAGCTTTTGGTTTCTGTGAGCCTGATTCTTCATAAAAATATATGAAATGGATGAAATCATAGGAAATCCTCAATCCTCCCAGCGCTCTGGAATCTTCTGTGGAAAGTGATCACAGGCTTGTCTTTTTCAGGGTCAGTTTTCCTAGGTCCTGTTTTCCTAGAATGTGATCCATTCCACTTCTGTCTTAAATAGCATCTTCACAGACCTGAGCAACATGGCCTCGAGCCTGTCTTGCTCTCTTCTGAGTCTGCAGTTCTTCCTCCTTGGGAAATCTCAGCCCCTAAAACCACTGTTGCATTTTGGTCAGGGCAGCTGGGGTTGCTGTTTTAAGCCCCATTCGCTACCAGAAACCTGCTTCTGTGAGGCATGCTGTGGGTCCCCCCAACTCCCCAGTCCTCAGCCTGGCAGCACAGGGCAGCAAACGCAGTTTCCCTCTCAGGCGAGCACACATGTGGGGTGAGAGGTGATGTAGAGGGAAACCTTGGGGCCTCTCCTCCTGGCCAAAGCCCAGCAGAGCAAGTGCCCTCTGCGGCCTCAGCTCTGTACTCCCAGCTCAGCCCCAGGACCAGTCAGGACACAGGGAGGGGGTCCAGCCTCTTGCTTCAGTTTCTCCTGCAAGCCTCTGCCTTCCTCAGGTCCCAACCCAATGGGGAAAGGTCTGTCTCCTCCTGTCCTCCCCTCCAAGGTTACCCAGGGGAGCCCTTGTCAGCCAGTGAACCCCCCTCCCTAGGGCCATGCACCAACTCTAGAGACAGGGCCTCTTGCTGTGGGGAGAGCACTCCTCTCGGAGTAGGAGACAGTACCCCATGCCATGGAGCTGGGAGTCACTGGCCTCAGGATCAAAGCCACCTGTGTGGTGGTACCTAGCAGTGAGTCAGCTTCGCTCTTGTGAGATGGCTAACAGGACAAAGTGTGACAGATGAACAGTGCCACTTGGGTCGGGATCTAGATCAGGGTCAGAGACTGCCCGGCAGCTTACGCACAGCCCCTTCTGGTAGACGGAGCCTGCCACACTCCAAGAAGTCCGAGGCCAGGTCCTGCACAGAGCCGTGCGTGTGTGGAGCAACATTCCCGCTGTGAGGAGGTATCTGGGGCTGAGGGGACACTGTTCCTACCACCAGTCATCAGACAGGTTCTGCCCATGTCTACTCAGCCTCCCCAAGGCATAGTGCCCTACACCAGGGGCTCACCTCTGTCCTGGACAGTGACCCTGGCCATCTTCTATTGATAGCAGGTTCCATACAGCCCTGCACACACCCACTCATACTCATTCACACCCACACATACCCCAGGGGCTTCATTTTCTGAGTCTGGACACTGTTTCCCTCCTCCCGCCCAATCCCAGGGTTCTGAGACTTGCCTGGCCATGGCAGCAGGGCCCTCCCTGCCATCCCAGGGCTGCCAGACATAGGTGGTGCAGGTCTTCACAAGGGCATCTTCCCTTACACCTGACACCCTCTCCCCCAATGCTCTCCCCTCACGGACCTGTGGGCTGTGGGTGCGTGGAAAAGGAGGAGGTGGGGCTGTCATTCAGCACGGCCTATGGAGCAGCCAGGCCCACTCCTCCTGCAGTCACCATGAGTCCCTGTGCACACTGCCTTTGTCAGTCCTCAGCCACAGTTGTCCCTCTCAGGCCTGGCCCAGCCCCTGAGCCCCAACTTCACTGCCTGCTTGGAGCCCTGGGGCAGCAGAGGCTTGGGCACCCTGGCCCTCACTGGGGCGCAGGTCCATCATGAGTTGACCCTGCCTTCAGACACTACTGTCATCCCTGAGGTGGCCACAGACGCCCCTAGCTGCCTGGGAGAGGGTGTGGGCACTGCATGTCTGGTCTCAATCCAGGGGGAGCCTGGCTGCACTGTAGGGGTCCAAAAGACTGTGTTTGAAACCCACTTCCTTGGGGGGCCATTAAGCCATGGGCCAGATCCTTGTCCTCTCCCCATGAGGCTATTTAATTACCTGGTCCCTGGGAATACGGGGGACATACTGAGGCTCTGATGACCTCTGCCCATGTCCTGCACTGTCCTCCTTGTATCCCACTGCCTTGGTGGCTGCTATCCACTCCCAGCAGCTCCTGGGCCTCCCATGAAGACACCTGCCAGGCCCTGTCCCTGGACACTCCCTGAGGCAATCAGAAGGTGCAGAGGTCACTTGTCCACTGCCCAGAGGGCCAACCTGTCACCCCTGCCCCAGGGGTTTGACCTGGCCTGATGAGTAGCCTTGTCCCCCATAACAACATCCTCCTCCTCCTCTTCCTTCTCCTCTTTGGCAGCAGGCATTCAGCTCTGGCCCCCGAAGAGGAAGCGTCCCTGCTGGCCCACGTCACCCAGAACACAGAGCTCAGCACCCGGGCCTCCGCCTCGCTCGTGAAGAACTGCTTTCTCCCGCTAAGAGAATATTTCTCATATTTTTCTCAGAATTCACTTCCTCTTTATAAGTGAGTTGTTTCATGGTGAAAACAGGGAGACTTTTCCTAAAACAAAGAAAACTGTCCTCAAGTTGTTGTCTTTCCACTGTAGATTCTTATCTTTCCCAAGTTTGGCTTTGAGTCTTTCTAGGGGTGCAGAGCCCCACCCCTACTCCTCAGGGCCAGCAGGGTTGTACTTCCTGGAGGGGTTCTGTGTTCTCATGAAAAGTTAGAAATACACATATTTTAGGATGGTTCTTGGCCTGTCCTGGTGTTTTCTTCTGCGGAGTGCAGTGTCCCTGAGTGCCGTCACATGCAGCTGCCAGCTGATGGCTGAGATCCGTCACCCCTCTCACCACCACACACAACACCTGGATCTGTCAAAGAGCACAACTCTGTCCTTAGCAAGCAAACCAAGAGCAGATATCCTTGCAAAGCCACAAGCCATGTGGCATTAGGGCCTCCTCTTGTGGGTTAAGGGAGGGTGCTTTCAAGAGCAGGATCCCTAGCAGTCCTGGGCAGTTCAGTTCCATGAGGGAACAGTGACAGGCTGGCTTCTCAGTGCTCCAGAGGAGTCCCACAGGGATTCTTCCGTAGTGAGTCAGGGCCAGTGCCCAGGTGAACAGGCTCACAATGAGCTGGGCGCTACACCTGAGAGTGAGGACCCCTGGGCCACAGCTGCTGTCTGGCTGGTCTGTGAATGTCACTTGTGTAGCAGCACCTCCCCCAACATGGTTGAATCAGGACCCATCTTGGGCCATCAGGCAGGCCCAACATGTCATGACTGATATCTCGTGAGCAGGAGGTGGACCAAGATATGACCGTATTGAGGGGACATTCCTGTGGCCACAGTGCAGGGACACCAGGAACCACCAGGTATTGGGATGGCTGGCTTGGCTCCTTAGGCCCAGTTGAAGCAGTGATTTCAAACTTCCCTCCTCCAAGGTAGGGACAGGAAATACTGTTGTCTTTGAGCCACCAAGTATGCAGGAGTTCATAACAGCCATCCCAGAGACCTTGTATCCAGGGGAAGAGGCCAACATCCACAGAGCAGGGCCTGGGCTGATTGCAATTCTGTCTGTGAGAGCTAAGCCACGTGGTCTCACCCCAGGGGACTACAGCTTCCAGTGTGCAAAGGCAGGGGCTCTGGGTGAGGGACAGTGGCTGGAAGGGGCCAGGTCATCATCAGAGAGGGACAGATGTGCCCCCCAGAGCTGTGAGCCCCCAGACTGTATAAGCACAGTTGTCACCCGATCCCAAGGAGTGCTCTCCCCACAGCCTAGCACCCCACCCTCCTATCTGTCTCAGTCAGAGGACCCAGCATGCCGTTAGCCCTGGGAGTCTCCTGAATCTTCATTGGTCCTAAACTTGGGTTGTTGGCAGTTGCTGAGTGAGGCTGTGGCATGTACCGCAGAGGGTACCCACAGTATAGTTCACTGTTACTATGTCACTCTTAAGGCACAAGGCTGTCCCTATGCTATAGGTGAGGACACAGACACAGAGGAGTACCTGAACCCCACCCAGTGTGAGCTGGGATCTGAACCCAACCTGGCCATGCCCTGTGTCAGCCTGTTGTTCCTTCCACTAGGGTCCCACCCTACAACCAGCCCAGTGGGAGCCTCTTCAGCCACTGCCTCCCATGCTCAGTGCAGGCCTGGCCCAGGGCTCAGGACTGTCCCTGTCCAGGGTGGAGGGGACACTATGCCCAACCAGGTCCTGGCTGCTGACAGTCCAGAAGAGAAGAACTGCAGCTGCAGCCACCAACACCAAGCCCCTCCCGCCACGTAGTCAGGCCAGCTGCCCTGACAGTGAGGAGCTTCCAGTGACCTCCGTGTGGCTTCAGACTCTGGACTGTGCTTGGCTTGAAGACCACTCCACCGGCTCTGACTTCTGCCCTGTGGTAAGCCCTACTTTCCTGTAGGTTGCACTCCCCACACAGTACACTCTGGCCCCCTCTCCACTGCACATGGCCTATATCTGCAGTGCTCTTGGTTCCTTCTACATGACACACTGGAGTGGTTTTCACCTGGAATTCACCTCACCTCAGCGCCTCCTGTTTGATCCTCAGGAATGCTAACTTTAGGAACTTTTTCAGTATCAGGGATCAAACTCAGACCCTGCTCTTGCCAGGAAGGTGCTTATGCTGCTGAGCTATCTCCTGGGCTCCAGGACCTTTATATATTTTTTCTCCCTCTTTTTTTTTTTCTGGATGGCACTGAGGATTGAACCCAGAGTCTTCATACTGAGTTACATGCCAGGGATTTTGGGCTTTTTCTACTTTTTTTTTTTTTTTTTGAGACAAGATCTCACTACACTTTTGCAGGCTGGTCTTGACCTGACTTGTATAGCCCTGGCTGGCTTCAAACTCAGCAATCTTCCTGCCTCAGCCTCCTGGGTGCTAGGATTACACCCATGGGCCAGGACACTAGCTGGCTGTTCAACTTTGAGACAAGTCTCACTAAATCACCAAGTCACCCAGGCTGAGCTGCAATTTGAGATCCTCCAGACTGTGTCTCCCAGAATGCCGGAATTCAGGTATGCTCCACCACACCCATTGAGCTGGCAATTTCTGCCCTTTTGTGAAGCTGTTATCCAGGCAGTTCTGGTCTGAGCATGGTAGTATATGCCTGTAATCCCAGTATTTAGGAGGCTTCTGGAGGCTCAGGCAGGAGAATTGTTGTCAGTTCAGACCAGCCTAGAAAAAAAAGAGGCAGACATCTGCCGGTGCCTGTAGAAGGGACACACTTAGCCAATGTAGAAGGTATGACCTCTGTGTGGGGCCTGGGACAGAGATCCTCCAGGGGACTTGCCCAGCCTCCTGCCTTCTTGGCCTGACCAGGACCTTCTTGCAAGGTCAGCTGGGGCTACAGCCCCCAGGGCCGTGGGGTGCTGATAGGACACACTCCTGCCCTCTCTCGGACCACAGGCTGCATAGGTGTGTGTGTGGGGTGCGGTGTGCCACCCTTGCCCACGTCTCCGAGGACCTTTGCAAGGAGGGACCCTTTGTCGCCTTGCTGGCAGGGCCTGAAGGCAGGGCGGGGGACACTGAATCAGTAGAGGTGTCGGGGCATGGAAGAGGAAGGAGCTCTCTGCACAAATCTGGCCACAACCTTTCCAACACGGGTGACAAGGAACCTCAGCTAGAGAAACGCACCCCCTGTGCTGGCTGAGAGGAGTGGAAGGGAGGGGAAAGCAGGTAACCACGGGTTTTCCTGGGGTGAACCTCCAGCTTTTCGGTAGGGGTGGGGGAACTGCAACAGAGGCCGAGTGCGCCCCCCCCACACACACACACGGTCATCCATGCAGGCACCCCTTCCTCCTTCCCTCCCGTTTGTTTGCTTATTCGTTTTGTCGTTTTGAGATAGGGTCTCGCTATGCAGTTCAGGCTGGCCTTGAGCTCACTTTGTAGCCCAGGTTGGTCTAGAACTCGCAACGACCCTGAGTGCTGAGATTACAGGTGTGCGCTGCCGCCCAGTGACTCCCTCCCTTCTTTTATCCCTTCCTAGAAGTCGGCAGACAGCCGCCCGCGTCAGCTGGGGCTCTGGACGCCGACGTTCTGCCCTCACGAGTACGGGCAGGGCCGAGCGGGACGTCGGGGCTGCAGGGACAATGCTGCGCCCGCGCCTCCTACAGACAGTGGCCTGGGTAGCGGTCCTAGGCAATCCGCACCCCGCCAGGTTCAGACTCTGCAGACCGAGGCGCCCCGCCCCGCCCCGCCCCGTTCCACCCCGCCCCGCCCCCCAAGACTGAACCTTCCGCTCGCGCGATTCCCGCCCCCTCGCGGTCACCCAGCGGCGAGGGCGGCCAGAGGCAGAGCTCCAGGTGCCAGCGGCGTGGAGTCACCTCAGGCCCGGTCCCGCGCCCGAGGTTCCAGCTCTGAGGACCCCGCGTCATGCCGCTGCGAAGGTGAGCCTAGCCGGCGGCGGTCGCCCGCGGGTCCCCGGGTCGCCGTCGGGCGGGGGTGGGTCCCGCTTCCTGGCTTGGTCACCTGAGGAGGTGTGGACGCCGGGTCGGAGAGGCGGCATTCAACTCGCGCGGAGCCGGGACTGCCGCACCCTCCTCCTTCTCCTCCTCCCGGAGCGGCTGATTTCCTCAAATAAGGAAGAATGTGACCATACTGTGATGCCTTTAGGCCCGTGGTGCCCACCCTCTGGTGACCTTGCCTGACCCCATGCCACTAAGGGCCCTCGCCCTCCCATCCTCTCCCGGGGAAGTGGATCCAAGATAGGAAAAGGGCTGCTGCTGCGGGGGGTGTTTGGGGGTGGGGGGGGTGACAACTGTAGTGTGGATTTTTGCCAATTTACATGTTCCTGTTAGGACACATTGAAGGGTGGCACCCTGTATCCCCTTGGTACCCACCTCCCTTCACCCTGTGCAGTGGGGAGTTTGTCCACAGCCCAGTTAGAAACAAGGGGCTTAAGCTGATGCTGTGGCAAGTAAGGGTGAAAGTCTGGGGTCGTCCTGGCTGTCCACTGCCCCCTGCTGCACTTTTGCTGCCTGACCCAGGGCTGGTGAGATGAGAGTGAGGGCAGCCCTGGAAAGGGATGTGATTGCCTCCACACTAAGGACAGGGCACTGCAAAGCCTCTGACAGGCAGCACCCAAAAGGGACACACTGGTTTCCCTGCAAGGGTCTGGAGTGGCCCCAGTCCCCAGGAAGCCCCAGCTGTTGTGAGGAGATCCTGGCAGATGGCGTGGACTCAGGGCCCCCAGTGGAGGTGGCTCTGTGGGAGAGTGACGGGGACACTGAGGGGTTTGCACAGCTCTGAATCTAGAAAGCCAGTTCTGACTCCCCACTGGAGCTGCAGCTCATTCTGCTGTGTCCCGCCCAGGAAAGCTGTTTTCCTAGGACTTCAGAGTGTCTCGGAATCTATCCCCCATAGGGCCAGGCCACCAAAGGGTCACACTGTCATCATGGCTTTTCTGAGGTTTTGTGGGGCAGAAGGTATGGTCCCCACGAGTTCCACTTCTGTATGGTTGTCAGCACTTCCCTCCTGGGAGCAGCAGCACAGCCTGGGGGAAGCAGGTAACACACCTGCAGCCCAGTCCAAACCTGCCTTTCTGGTGTTTTCTCCCAGGCCTGGCCTGCTCCTACTGCTGCTCAGCGGCCTGCAAGCTGGTAAGTTTGGAGTGCAGGTACACAACTGGGAGGGGAGCTTCCAAAGCCCTTCGCTGTCCCTTCTTGCTTCCCCATGGTTCTTCCAAGACCACAGGGCCCCTAGACGTAGTCCACCAGCGGTCCTCCAGCGGGACTACTGAAAGGCAAACATGTCTCCTAACCACCTAGCTCTTATTTCATGTCATGCTTGGGTTGGCTGGACTGTGGATTCCTCCATGCAGGAGTTTTCTCTCTGTCCTGGCCTCTTTGCCCTCAGCCCCTTGGAGGCCTGAAAGCTGCCACTCGGGAGGAACCAGGAAGCAGGGTTGTGCCTTGTGCAGCGCCCTAGGGCAAGAGCATTGATGTTGGGGATGTGCCCCCTTCCTGGAGGCATGGAAGTGGTCATGCTGAGGATAGAGCCACCTGTGTGTGGCCTGTGACCTTTCCCCACCAGTGTACTTGACATTATAAAGGCAGTCAAGAAATGGTTTTCTGGGTTGGGGAGATAGCTCAGTAGAATAAGCACTTGCCTGGTAAGCGCAAGGTCCTGAGTTCAATCGCCAGTACTTAAAAAAAAAAAAGGTTTTCTTTCCATACCTGTGATTTTAAGACCTTTTTAGTTTGCATTAATCAGAGTACACTAAGAAATAGCAGAGGGGGTGCAGAGTGGCCTGGGAGGTCCCTTCCTCAGCTAAAGCGTAGTGCTGGCTCCATGAGACATGGCATCCTTGCTGTCTTGCATGTGTTCTACTAACAGCCCTTTCTGCTCTAAGGATTCAGAATTGGATTTGGGTCTGTCTGTCTGTCTGTCTGTTTGGGGCACTGAACTCACTGTGTAGCCCAGGCTGGCCTCTACCTTCAGCTTTCTGAGTGCTGGGATAATAGGCATGCACCACCACGTGCAGCTGTATGCTGGGGGTTTGTAACCTCAAGCCTGAGTGCCTCCACGGGCCAGGAATCATCTGGGAAAATAAATGTATCCTCTCTGTCTCCTCTGAATCCTTGCAGAGATCCAAGAAATGGAAGTCAGGACAACAGTGGGTAGCGACTGTTTGCTGAGCTGTGTGTACCCTGAGAGACTCTATTTCAACCCACTGGACGTGTATGTTTACTGGCAAATCAGCGAGTCCACTGTGGTGGCATACCACATCCCCCAGAACAACTCCTCAGGTCAAGTCGACATCCACTATCGGGCCCGGGCCCACCTATCACGGCAGAGCATGGAGCAAGGTAACTTCTCACTGCATTTGCGAAACGTCACCCCACAGGATGCACAGAAGTTTACCTGTCTGGTGTTCAAGAAGTCCTCGAACATGGGACAGATTTTGAAAGCCGTGGTCACATTGCGCGTGGCAGGTAAGACCAGGGGAGCAGGAGATCTTATTTCGTGCAGACTTAGGCCTGGAGAAATTCACTCATAGGAATCCTTCATCCGTAATTAATTGGGCTCAAGTTCCACCTTCTGCAGAGACTTTTATCCCTGTTGGGGGCTTCTATTTCTGGAACACCAGCAGAGGAACTGTATGTATTCCACCCCCCAAAAATTCCACCCTTCCCCCCAAGCCCCCAGATTTGCTTCTTTTGCCTTAAACTGTACAACTCAAACTAGATCTTAAAAAGTAAGTTAGGTCCAGGAGTGGTCACACACACACACCTATTGCCAGCACTGGGCAGGCCAAGGCAGGAGGCTCATGTGAGTTCAGAGCCAGCCTGAGCTACAGAGTGACTTTGTGACCAGCTTGAATTATATATCAAGATTTGTCTTTTTAAAAATTAGGAGAAAAAAAAATACTCCTCAAAAATTAAAGGGGCCAGGGAGATGGCTCAGTAGAAGTGCAAGGGCCTGTGTTCAATTCCTGATTCCACAAAAAAAAAAAAAAAAAAGAAAAGAAAAAGAAAAAAAGAAAAAAAAATTAGGAGGGCTGGCCAGATAGCTCAGCAGATTAAAGCGCCTGTTCAGGCAGATGCAGGGACTGGGGTTCGAGCCCTGGCCTGCCATGCTGGCCCTGCACCAGTGCAATCCCGCCCCAAGGGTGTGCTAAGATGGCAAATGAGGATGGGCATGGTAGCACATGCCTGTAATCCCAGTGCTTGGAGGCTAAAAACAGGAGGATCACTATGAGTCTGATGTGTGTAGTGAGACCTATAGACCCTGTACTAAATACACACACAAAAAAAATTTTTTAATTAGGGAGAGGAAGTAAAAAAAAATTAGGATGTGTTGTTTATGTCCATGTATCAAGTCTCCCCAGTGAATATGATCATTATGTGCTACAAACATTTACTACATTAACAAATCTTAAAAATTTAAATTACAAACATTAAAAATAGAAGTTACTGCTGGTCTCACCCCCGGGCTAAGACATCAATTAAGACTGGGCCTAGTGGCACATCCCTGTAATCCCAGTGCTTGGGATGCTGAAAAACATGAGTCTCACTATGAGTCTGATCTGTGTAGTGAGACCCTGTAGACCCTATGCTAAATACATTTTAAAAAAAAAAAAAAGCTTAAAAATATGAGTTAGGAGAGGGTACTGTAATGTTCTACATGAGATCAGAATTTAGGAAACACTTACCAGAGCCTGGGAGCTCAGGGTGCAGCTCAGTTCAAAACAGCTGTGACCCTGGGAAGAAGCACTAGAGCAGAATAGGGGCCTAGAGAAGGCCACTTATGACCACTTGTGCCATCCTGTTGGGGTGGCAGTGTGGGTGGGCAGGCCCATGGGCTGTCCTGAGCTCAGCCTTGGCCCAGCCCCTCCACCAGGGTGGGCAAGTGGGCACTGCTCTCTGCCTGCCTGGGGATGTGAGCCCCAGGACCCCACCCTTGCTCACTGCCCACCTGTCCCTACAGCTAACTTCAGCCTGCCTGTGGTTAACAGCAGTGGTGACCCCCAGGACCAGGCACTCACCTTCACCTGCATGTCCACTGATGGCTACCCTCGGCCCAACGTGTATTGGATCAACAAGACAGACAACAGTGTGCTGGACAGGGCACTGCACAACGACACAGTGTCCTTGAACGCACAAGGCCTGTACAACGTGGTCAGTGTCCTGAGGCTGCCCTGGGTACCCGGTGCAAGCGTGGGCTGCTGCATAGAGAACGTGCTCCTGCAGCAAAACCTTACTGGCAGCGGCCCTGCAGGTATGGCAGCCAGGTGGACAGAGGGCTAACAGCAGTGGGAAAGTGGCTAGAAGGGAAGTAAGGGGGTGTCCAAGGGCAGGTGCGGCCTCGCTTGCCCAGGCACATCCCCCACTCTGTGTGCACCTGCAGACTCCACCTTGCAGAGGAGCTGAGACATCTTCCAAGGGTCTGGGTAGCCACTGAGGGGTCAGAAGCCACAGAGCCAGGCAGCAGAGGGGCCTGGGCGGGTGTCTGCTGGGACTCTTCCAAGTCTGTGTTCCTGGCTTCTGGGTGAGATGAGACGCAGGAGGTCCAGGTAGGATGAGGCTCTGTGTCCCCAGCCCAGCTGCAGAAACATGGCATGGCTCACAGGACACATGGCCCTGGATGCCAGGCACATGCAGGTGGCTGTGAGCACTCAGGCTGCCCACAGCATCATGCTGGGCTGCAGCTCTGAGTGTAGGCCCCCGCAGGCCTGACCCCCACCCACCCAAAGTTGGGGCACAGCCTCAAGACTGTGTTCATGATCTCTGCACCTGTGTGGACTAGGGTGAGGGCTGCCCCCTCACTCACAGCGGCCCGAAAAGGTGAAGCCAAAAGTTCTCCAAGGGCCGAGACTCTAGCCCAGTCACACCCTGATCCCTGGGCTGTTGGGACAGTTGG